AGGAGGCGAAAGATTATCCAGAGTTAGCAAGGGTTTTACACAATCTACAAATTGTTACTGTTGCTTTTTTAGCAGTGGTTATAATATTTCTAGTCTGACAAAGGAGTTATATCTGCAGCTGTGAGGAGATGAGAATCTGAATCATGAAGCCTTTAATCTATGGAATGTCATGAAATTAAGTATCAGCAGGTTTGCTTGATAACCAGGCAAACTGGACACAATTCTTTATTGGGTTTCAGTCTCTCTTGTTTCTTCATTAAGGGACCCATAGGCCAAGATTAGATTAGGTTTGTTCATCATCTTCTTCTAGTTCCACCTGCTCTTCTTATTCTCTACTTGTGGTTTTTAAAATTAATTCTCTGAACAGTCAGCTTTTGATTTTTCTAAAGCACAGTCATCTGAGGTTTGTCCACTTGAGGAAGAGGTTAAGAGGATGAGCTGTGAAAAATCAGACAGATCTGAGGTGAAATCTTGGCATTGCCGTTTACCAGCTCAGTGACTACGGTCAAGTTATGTAAGTCTCCTATGTAAAATAAGATAATAACACCAGCTCTTAGGATTGTTATAAGGAGAGGCCCTATTGTCACAGTAGTGACAGTGATTGATTGAAAGATGCCACAGATCTAAGTGAAAGATACAGTTCTAGTAACCTAGGCAGGTAACAGAATTTACAACCTATAGAGAGGTCCACAGAACGGGAGGTACAGTGGCCCTCCCAACTGGGTGGGTTGGGGGTGGTGGGAACATAGATTCTCTGGCTTTAAAGAACCTAGAGAGGTATACCACTGCTAATAAAACCTCCTCAGCTGGGCAGAACAAATCATCAGTTTTTTTGAGATATTCCCTTTGATATTCTCACAAGGTTTTTCTATAGCCTTCTGGCTTCATGACTGCTATGGAACTCTAAGTGTTTGTCTACTAGGTGCAAGTTTCTCTCAGCAGCTTAGCATATCCCAGAGTACTTGCTCTGAGGGTGAGTTGAAGGTCAGTTTGTTAGTTATACCATCCCTCTGGCAAACTCAATCTTTGGGCTACATGAAATCAACTCCAGGAATAGGTAAAGCACTTAGCTAAGCTGTAAAATGATCACAATAGGAATTATGTCTGTTTTATTCATTAGTATATCCCTAGATTCTAGCTGTATGCTTGACATAAGT